ATAACAGTGTTACTTTGAGATGCAGGCATCTAATGAAGTGCACTGCAATGTGTGACACAGTGTGAAAATAATGGCTTGAGCAGCAGAAAATCTGGATGTCTTTGATTCTGACTGTATTTTCAGCCGCATGCTTGAGGGCCACAAAATGCAATGCATTTCCAGATAAAGGGACGTATTTTTGGAATGGGGGCTAGTTTTCAGCTGTGAGGTCAAAGGCTAGCTTGCCATTTTCCTTCATTATATGCCATATTACTGGAGGTACAATGCAAGAGGATATCATATTGTGCATTATTTATTAGACCTTCTGGATTGCCGGCGGTCATGTATTTGAGGGAGCAGCTGTTCTGAGTTCTTTCAACACAGACAAATTGTAAGCATGAATTTAAACCTAATAAATAGGTTAACATTGCCGGTCATGGTTTTGTGTCCAATCAGCCGTTATGCTATTATAGAATACTCTGAATTTCTGTTAATTGGTGCTTATCTAGTCAGTATCTACACACAATGGGCCTCATTCATGATACACGAGCAGAACGAATTTTTGTGTAAATCGTTCGTAAAGTCGTTCTGACGTAAACTTTCGAATTCATGAAAATGTTAGTTGATACGAAAGAAATGTACACCTGCTCCCTACCACGTGTAAATGGTGCGTAAAACGTTCTGTGTTCTTCTTGGCAAACTGATGACACTGAATTTTGATGCACTGCCATAATAATTACAAGTTCATTTGCCCTTGCCCTCTTATTGAATTTAATTAATTAATTAATTTTATTATATATTTTTTGCAGCCGAGTTGATAATTGTAAAACGCAGTACTCGTCACTGTCACTATTTACCCAGCCGTAAATAGAGGAGTTGGCGGGAGTCGGGACAAATACCTAACCATCCTACTTGTACAACGACGGCCTACAACGATGGAGAAGTCAATATTACTGGTTACTGCTATATTAGATTTAGTAAAATTCTTAAAAATGAGATACTAGTAGGCTAATACATTGCCACCGTTAATATTCGATACCATAGCAACTAAAAGCGCCACCAGCTGGTCTTTTCAAGAAGAGCGCCTGACATTTTTTCAGCTGGCTAAAAACTCTTTGGTGGTCACACACATTATTAAATATATATATTGTTAGGCATATGGCCTAGTCTTTTAATACACTGGAGCCAAACCTGAGAAAGTAGACCAGAATATTCCACTACGTTCCTGGACACGCAATTTGCGTAGCTGTCATTTATAGGCGGGATTATGCTAATTGTGAATGAGCGTGCTCGAGCGCCCTATTACGAATGATTGGAATTCATTAACATTCACATGTTTAACTATCAAATCGGACGTTTACGAAGATTTTGTGAATCCGGAGGAGAGTTTTCGGGAAGGTCTGTTTAGCGCGCAAATTACTGGATATGGATGTGACGTGTAGTGACGTGACATGTGGCCAAGTATGGTGACCCATACTTGGAATTTGTGCTCTGCATGTAACCCATCCAAAGTGCACACACACAGCAGTGAGCACACACACACACACCATGAACACACACCTGGAGCAGTGGGCAGCCATTTATGCTGTGGCGCCCGGGGAGCAGTTGGGGGTTCGGTGCCTTGCTCAAGGGCACCTCAGTCGTGGTATTGAAGGTGGGAGAGGGTGCTGTACATTCACTCCCCCCACCTTACGAGTCCGACTCTCTAACCATTAGGCCACGACTTCAGAATTTACTCCTATATTTACGCAAGCTAGTGAATGAGGCCCAATGTTTTTAAATGCTTTATACAGTATCTGGGAGCGTATTTCTACCATCTGTGTTCTGTAGCAGATTTTTTTTTGGAATAAAAAGCACAAGGGTGTTATTTTTGCATTCTAACCTTGCTCTCATTCTAAATTTAGATAATTGAAAGCAATAGAAATCTCGTTTTAGCTTCTTAGGATGCCTGATCTTAAAACTCTTAAAAGCCTGCAATAAAATCAATGAGACATGTTGTGAGATTGTGTACCCTAAAGCTACACAGAGTAAAGTGAGTAAATCAATCAAACCATATCTAATCATGTGAACTTGAACAAAATACTTGCAAAAAACAATGTGCAGATGTGAAGACAGGACCTCAGCTGAAACAGCTAAAAAAAAAAATTTGTGTTAACTACAAACATATGCTAGTTAAAACCACAAAGCATATATTAAAACCACTTGTTACTAGTTAGCAAAAATGTAATGAATTTAATAAATCAAGGGAGCACCACTAGAAAATGTAGCATTCCTTAAAGCCAAATTCCTTTCTTTTCAATGTGCCCTCACTAAATCTCATTTAGGGTTTAGACTTGAGTTGCTCAAATTGGCTCTAAGGCAGCAGGAGCTAGAGATAATGACATGATGATAATGATATTTGTTCTTTAGCATAATAGGACTGAGGTCAGGATAGTCTATTCAGGGTGTTAAATCTAACTCCGTTTACGCTGAAGAAAAAAAAAAAAAGGACAGAGCCTATATCATCTGAAGGTAACGAAAGAAAGAGCAGGAGATTGCTGAAGAGGCCTGGTCAGAGATGTACACCTGCAACTAATGGAAAGAATTTAAATGAAAAATTGTTATTCATTTCTTTTGAACGACTCAGAAAGTATTAAAATTGAATCTAAATCTGTTGACAAGAAAACACTAGCCATATTCAAATATTTTGGAGCTGTCCAACTATACCTCGCCTTTAGACTTAAGTATATAGCCTTAAGTCTAAATAAAGTATAGTACTAAGCATCACCCAATTGAATTTCTAAATGCATGTTATAGATCTTATTGTAAACAGTTTATTTGTGCATATTTAATGTATTAAAAAATGCATTGACCTTGTAGCATTTAATGATTTTTTTTTTATTCACCAGACTTTTCTCTATGCAGGACTTCACAGATTTTATTTTATTATTATTTTGGATTTTAGGATTTACTTAATATTAAAATGAATAATAATAATGGGTTTAACTTTAACATAATACTGATACTGGAGGGGAATGGATGGATTCATGTTCCAATCCCCACTCTTGGGTCCTGTTTTCAATAAAGGATAAAATTCATACCAAAGCCCGTGTCTCATGGGAGGTCGTTCACAATTATTCCATCACTCAACACGCATTAGTTCTATATGACTGCTTCACTGTCTTCAATTAATATGCAACATTCAAACATGCCGTTATTCTCCTTCCTTTGCATGCAATTACCTGCAAGATCATTTTATTGTTTGTGTGCAGCCGTCACAGTTGGGTTGGCACAGCACATGAGGTTAATAAGATTAAAATGCACTGTTAGCTTGTCATGATTGAGATCGCCTCTTTAACATCTTATAGCACGTGCTATTAGCTCTATTTAATGTGTATTACCTTGTGAGTGCAATTAGTGTATATCTCCTGCACTTCCTTAATAGTCTGTTCCACTGATACTATATAGCAATACAGCAGCTAATCATCTTTAAAACTATTTTATGAGGTACAGTTTTTATGAGTGAGAGGGAGGGAGGGAAAAAGAAAGAGTAATGCTCAAATGCTCTCATCCTTCCAGTTAAGGTCTTCAAGTCCAAAAGTGCTGGCTAACCATCCATACTCCCTTTTGTTATTATTTCTAAAATGAAGTACTATTCACCTAGTTGTTCAAAGTTAAACCTTTTCAACTACAAGAAAATAATATATCTCTGACCTCTCTGGTTGCAGCTCTGAAAGTCCAATCGTCAAGGGAAACGTACATAAGCCTTTAAAAACAGCAGAAACTATTTGTCTGCTCAGAAGGAATAGGTCTTTGCAATTGTTACCTCTTTAAGTGGTGCTTTCCAAGGTAACTATTACTATTATTATTGCACGTACTCAGAGTTAGTGATTTGAACAACTCCCTAAATCTAAATTAAACATGTCTGTTCATGCAAAAGACACAAATGATACCTGAAATCACATAGATTGCTGAGGAGAGGTGTAATATGAGAGAGTTCAGCCCTGTGGTTTCCACTTGGTTGGCAATAAAAATATCTGCTTATTTTATCCCTAAATTGAAGGAAGGACCCAAGTCAGAGACCAGAATATCACAGAGACTTGAGGGTGGAATCAGACCAGAAAGCAAACACCTAGCAACACTTTTGATCCATAAAAACAGGTAAAAAAAAAAAGCAATATAAAACCTGAAGTGTTTCTGTTAGCGTCGGCTATGGAGTCAGACATGAGGGAACATTGTGTGCATGAGCGCGAGATCATTATCAAGCTCTACTATTCTCAAAAATGGCATTCTAAACACAGTTAAATATGTAGATGTTGCTAGAGTAATTCGTTTAATCAGAAAATGGTCCATCTAATTAATGGAAATGTCATATTCATTTCTACTGCGCATTAGACCCTTTCAGAGCTACAGAACGAGAGGATGCCAGAGGAGCAGAGCAAAGCACGAAAAATCATTTGATTTATGAGAGCAGCACTTAGGACACAGAGGAGAAGATGTTATGCACTGCGGCTTCCAGCCAAGGAGCTAAAGTAATTTCCTCAACGGCAGGTACACGCTCAAGCGAACAAAGCTACAATCAAATTGCTTCACTGTACAGCCTAAAAACTCGTTTAATGTCATACTTATGCCTATTCTTCGGGTTTCGTGTGACACCCGAGTACTTCAGTCAGTAGATTTTGAAGTCATGTGGCCGCAAGGGTCTCAGAGTTTCATCCTGCATCACGTTCATCCGAGGAAACCCAACTGCTCCTGTGAAATTTCCTTGATGTATGTTGTGTTATTTCTTTAGTCAATCAGGGATCAAAAGCTGAATATGAGTGATGAATCAGCTTCCATTAAAACATCCTTAAACACCCACATGGGTAATACATACTCTCATCTGCTGATGACTCAGGTTCTGGGAGTTCTGTTGAAGTCTAATTCAAGTTAGTTTCAAGAGCTTTTTAACCACAGAGGCATGGTGTTTATTCTTCATTACAGCTAAACACATTGTGAAGTAGAGTTTGTTGCCCTTTTAAAATTTGCATTGACATTCTTGCTTAGGTTTCAGGCCTAATACAACCAAATGTCGAACAGCAGTGAACCAGGTTAAACCTTGAACATCTATGGAGAACCATGTTGGTTGTGTTATTTAGTCAATCAGGGATCAAAAGCTGAATATGAGTGATGAATCAGCTTCCATTAAAACATCCTTAAACACCCACATGGGTAATACATACTCTCATCCGCTGATGACTCAGGTTCTGGGAGTTCTGTTGAAGTCTAATTCAAGTTAGTTTCAAGAGCTTTTTAACCACAGAGGCATGGTGTTTATTCTTCATTACAGCTAAACACATTGTGAAGTAGAGTTTGTTGCCCTTTTAAAATTTGCATTGACATTCTTGCTTAGGTTTCAGGCCTAATACAACCAAATGTCGAACAGCAGTGAACCAGGTTAAACCTTGAACATCTATGGAGAACCTGTTAGGTGAAGACGAGACATTGATTTAAAAGACAGTTCAATATAAAGTGACTTTTAAAGGTGCTGTATGTAGGATTGACACCGAGTGGTTGAACTAGGTATTGCTGTCCAAATTCAAAATAATATCCTCCTCAGACTTTGACTCAGATTGACAACACCAACAGGAATGAGCGCACTTGACAATGAATGGAATTAAATACGCTGTGTTTTGCGCCAACTGGCAACCCGGGGTGCCGAAATACAATTGAGTAAACTGGCAGTGGGCAGGTTTCACAAACCAAAACAGAGACCGACATTCCGGCCCGGAACGCACATTTTCAAAGGAGAATAACTGACTGTAGCATTGTTTTTCAGATAAACAAGTATGTTAACTTAGCATGTTTCTTAAATATCTGCAAACATATTATGGTATCTTTATGCTTTAGTAGAGTCAAAAACTTACATACAGCACCTTTAAGGTCAGAATTGTAGATAAATGCGTGTACCCTGGTGCTGGGGATGGAGGGGGTTTGAGTTTTTGTGAAGAGCGGCAGGGGGTTGATGAAGGTCAAACAGCACAAGAGTCTAGCTGAAATCAGAGGCCGCTTCTTCTCAGAGCCCGAGCCTGATGCTGGAGGCTAAATGGTTGTAGTCCTAAGCAAACTCCCCCTCACAAACCCTCATTCAAATACCCCATGAACAGGGATACACATACGTTTTTCAGTCTGGTTCTCATAAGAGCATCTGGAGATTTGGCCTGGTGCTCACACTACACATTGTGTGACCCATTAAATATAAATAAATTATAAAATATATCTTAAATATAATAACTATAAAAAGAAAACATTAATACTAGTATGATTTCACTTATTTTTTTAAATAAAATTTGAAACAAAATAAATATTTATAATACTATTATATTTTAAAATAAAAACTATTAAATAAAAATATAATTATTTTATAGTTCACTTAAATATACAATGGTAATATTTATATTTTCATTTAAAAAAAATTTTTATTAAAGCAATAAGCCCCAAGACCTTTTCAAACCTAAAATCAGCAAGCTTTTATAACTGGCGGGTTCCGGCAAGTATGCGCTGTCGGTTTTAGTGCTGGCGAGTGAAGTGCGTCAGCGAATGAAATGCCACAGTTTTGCCTTTTGCTCTGAAACGGCAGCGCGTAGCCTAGATTTATGCTTTCAGTTCGAATGTAAATCTTAAACAGTATTACAGTTAGTCAATCTAAAATGGTAATTGTGGATTAACAGCTGTCAAACGTGATGATATGCAAATGATTGGGCTGAACTTATTTACCCAGCAAATTTTTATTTTGGTTACTCATGCACATCTGCGCACCACTTATGTGCATCCCTGGCCATGAAATCAAATGTGTATTTATTTGTTTGTTTATTTGTTGCATTCCATGTAGGATGTGGGGATATTCATACTTGATGATATCTCCAGTTTCAGACCATAAAGGCTTTCCGAAGCCTGGAATGATGCTATGCAGTGCTAGCTTTTAGAAACAGAATTTACACACCTGTCTCTTAAAGGCACAATATGAAATTTTCGCCGCTAGAGGGCGCATATTCAAAATAAACAAAGAGACAAAGGCATAGTTTGATGACGCAGTGACTGCGTGAGTGTGGAATCATGGTAGTTGTGGTCTTCATCCCCACAGCCGATGCAACTCGGGCAGAAATCATGTTCATTGATGAGCTAATGATTTATTAACGTAGTAGAATGAAGCAGGGTGAGGCTGAAAGCCATTGACGCGAAACGAGGCGCTGAACGAGCGCGACACACGGCTCGAAAGCAGCGGAGCTTTTATTATGCCACAGTCGACCACTTCTGCTGCTTCCGGTCGTGCGTATGTGGGGTAAAGCAGCGCTGTTTTATCATACTAGATACGTTTGAAAGTTCTGTTATAATGCTACTCTGTGCGGTCGTCACCGGTCTATTAAAACACACAACATATTAAAGCGTCTTTGGTTTCCATGTTTTCTACAAAACAAAACCAGAAATCGAGGAGTTATGACATCATTGACAGGCGACACAATGATACTATGGACACGCTCCGTGTCACTAGTTAAAATTGCTTATTTCTCTGGATTTAAACATTCTTCGAAACATTTGGGATAATGTAAGTACACAAGTCAGCAAAATATATAACACTGTTCTAGTGGTTTTTGGATATTTTAATAAGAAAATCTTACATATTGTGCCTTTAAATGCTTTGCTGAACAGGTTTACCAATTATGTAATTTTGGAAATATGACTTTCTCTCTCTCTCTCTCTCTCTCTCTCTCTCTCTCTCTCTCTTCATCATTAAGTGTGTACATTAACTTTGTACATGTTGGCAAAATTAAGTTTTCAAGAGGTATTTTAGCAAGGTTTCTGTGCTAATCATACTGCAAAATGACTCTATGGCACAGTTGACTGATTTAGCATATTACCCTGAATTCCACCCATAATTTCATTAAAAATCTTCATATATTAAGCATCATAAATCAGATAGGAAATATGCATTTAACTGTGATGGAGTTGTATAAAAATAAAAAAATGATATAAATAAAATAAAATAAAAAAAGTTTTATGAAAACCGTTTTCTTCTCCAGTTTTATGGTTTAATTTGGCACATGGCACAATCAGCATGTATACATCTGGTATACATAAATAAATATTAAATATATTTATACATAAATACACATATAGAGCTATTAAAAAGACACTTGTTGTGGCCTCAGATTATGGTGCAGAGGATAAAACTTGTACAGACACGAACTGCTCTGCCCTCTGAATATTGGTGCTTTCAGCCTAATAATTGATAATAATGGTCATTTACACTTTCAGGTCAATGGGAGCAAAATCTTAATAAAAGCCCTATACATATATGTATGTATGCCCATATTTATATATATATTTAAAGAAACACATGTCTACACTGAAGTCAGGTTATTCAGTGTAAAGAGGCCACTGTCTCCAGTCAAGAGGAACGCTTACAAAGTCAATGGAATCATGTAAGTTAGTTCAGTTCAATCTTAAGCTATTGTTTTCTCTTGCATGTAAAATAATATATTTATTTTGTAATAATTCTTAAGCAAAATTAGACATATGTAACTTTTTTAAAATAACAAAAAGATCTATTTCGCAAAGACAGATGACAATAGACGCAGCTGAAACACTACTTATGGTGAACAAAATCAACGCAGAAGCCCCCCCC